AGATTGTTTAGGTATTTATTACTTGTATATATTGTATATAGTTATTGTACTTTTGTATATAGTTTTTCTTATGTTAGTTATAACCTTTTTTCTTTTTATTAAAATAGAAAAGGGGAAATATGGTGATATTTTAATTGTACTGAAATGTGATTTTATTTGTATGTCAATAAATAAAGTTGCCTGGGTCTCACAGCTATGAGAGCCATAGCAAAACTGGGCATTCATGGTGCACACCTTTAATCCCAGCACTTGGTAGGCAGAGCTAGGTAGATCTCTGTGTGTTCTTGGATACAGCCAGCATTGGAGACACACGCCTTTAATCGCAATACCATACAAGATGTGGAGGGCTGTACAACAGACTATGATGAGGCAGTCATGTGGATGGCTTTACAACCAATGAGAATGCAGAACAGAAAGGCTATATAAAGACAAACAGACAGGAAGTGGGTCTCTTTTGGAGAGGTCTCTTGGCTGAAGAGGCTAGCTGCAGCAGGTGGGGAAGGCTCTTAGCTCTGATCTCTTGGCTTTCGTCTTTGCCTTGGCTCTTGTGTTTCTTATTTAATTAGACGGTTGGTTACATCTACACAACTGCCTCCTTAGAGACTCAAGGTTCCTGTTTCTGGAGGTCTAACTCTTCCTAACTCTTCCCCTGGGTGGTTGTTATCAGTCCTAAGGCAGCTGTGACTTAGGTATCAATGTTTTCTTGGCTAATATTGTCTAACTTGGTTCTCTACTGACCTTAGGTGCTTTCTCCAAGGTAAATAATAAGACACTGTACTTCTTATGGCCAGAGAAACTCCATCTTGTCCTAGGCCTCCATCTTTGGACCTGATTAACCATTTGTCTCAGATTCAAATTCCTGGAAGATGAGTTCCCCACAAGCATACCTGACTCAGTGACTCCCCAACCAGAAATGTGCAGTTGTGGCTATCTGCTTTGTTATAAAAAAGGATGTGACTAGCTGCTGTTTTTGGCTTCTGTATCTTCCTCATGCAAATAGTCAAGGATTATTTTCAAGTCATCATAACCAAAACAGGTCAGCTCTTTTCTTGCTTGGTCTTAACAATTTTCACCTTTAAGAACTCTTCCCTAAACCCGTTTGTGATGCCATGCCTTAAACTTGGATTCAAGGCTTTTGTCCTGCTAAAGGTATAACAGTAAATCCATTTAATTATAATTGGATTGACTCTGTGGTCTTTTCCTGGTGGTCTTGAACTCTATAATATTTCTTAATAAACTTGTTTAGCATAAAATCATCAGCCTATGCAAGTCTTTCTGGTTTAAGCTATTGTTTTTGTTGTCTTTATTTCTCACCACTGTTCTGCTCACTCAATACCTCACCATTTGGGACCTTTATTCCTGAAGGTTTGGATCAAGTTACAACTAATATGGGTTACTAGTACAGGGAAAATCATGAAGAGTGAATACAGCTGTGATGAATATACAGGGTAGAAGAGTTACACTAGTGGACCCCTTAAAAACAGTAAGTAAATAAGTAAAATAAAGTTAAAAAAGAAAGAAAGAGTTGAAACAGCTCAGAGTAAAATGAGACAGCTGGATTCTAAAAAACATCCCCCCTTTAGATGTTTCCTTCCATTCTGCATTCTAGTTCTTATAGACTATTGCTAAATCACTTAGTGAAATTCTTTACCTTGATTCTGAAAGTATGCCCTTAGTTCCCTAAATGGGTCTGTAAATTTAAAGATATGGGGATGAATAGGTGATTGTTTAAAGATAAAGTATTGTCTATGAGGGTCATGATGAGTTTGGACTGTGACATTTGATTAGAGATTCCTAAGATTCACAACATAAATATGATTCAATTGTATTTCAACAAACTCATAAATCTGATCAGTCTACTCCAAAACACACAAAAGGGACAAAGGATAAAAATAAAAAGTAAAAAAATAGAGATAAAAGTCCCTGAAGACATGGAAGGAGGGTCAGTTCTTAAGTTACTTTTGCTTCATGATGCCTCAGAGAATAAGGAGGAAATTTCTTTTCCTTCTTTTTTCCTTCTCCTTCCCCTTCCCACCCCTCCTCTGCTTCTTCTCCATCCTCCTTTGATAATATGGTTTTAAAGTCATTTGAAATGTCTCTAGTTTAGCTAAGCCACCAAGTACCCCTCCCACCTTTTAGCATAATATTTTATTGATTATTTGGAAATTTCACATAATGCATCATGATCACATTTACTTTCCAGTACTCCCAGGTCCCCCCACAGCCTTGTGACCTCTCCCAAAACAGAAAGAAGAGGAAGAGGAAGAAGACGAGGAAGAGGAAGAAGAAGAAGAAGAAGAAGAAGAAGAAGAAGAAGAAGAGGAGGAGGAGGAGGAGGAGGAGGAGGAGAAATGAAAAAAGATAGAGACCTTGCCTACACCCGCACTAGACTAGCAGATCTCCACGCACCAAGCATCCAGAGAGTTGTGCGCCAATGGAGCGGACATGGGCAGAGCGATGGTGACCAGACTGGGGCTGGGGTTGCTGCTTCTGGCACTGCTCCTACCCATGCAGATCTATTGCAACCAAACATCTGTTGCACCATTTTCAAGTAACCAGACTATCTCTACTGCCCCAAATCCAACTAATGCCACCACCAAAGCAGGTGGCAGTGCTCTGCAGTCAATGGCGGGTCTCCTCGTGGTCTCACTTTCTCTTCTACATCTCTACTGTTAGAGACTCGGACCAAGAAACGTCTCTACTTCCCCATCTTCTAGACCCACCCCAATGGTAACCACAAGTCCAGTGTGACCAGGAAGAAACAGGTTCATATCAAATCTGCTATTACCATACCTCAACAGAAAATCTTGAGAATTCATGTGAAGGATGTGACAGATGGTGAATGCCAATATTGAATCTGCTAGAGTTTTATGTTCAAGATGAAGAGTGATAACATCTGAAGTTGACGTGATTTCCTTGAATGTGACTTAAGAAATGTGGACACTTTAAAGCAACCCTTGAAGGCATCACCATCCCTGACCTCAAACTCTACTATAGAGCTATAGTAATAAAAACAGCTTGGTAC